ACCAGTTTCGTCACAAAGTTCATAACACCAAGGGGAGCAAATTTTAAGAATCCTGAAAGGTCCATCATATTTGACCCACAATTTAGCGGTCACGCCCTTGCTCGCATCTGACAGCTTATAGTTTTTCTTAAACACTATCTGGTTTAGGGTAAACCTTTGTGGACGACGTCTAAGGTTATATCGAACACTACTACGCTCATATGCTTGCTTTAGACGCTTTGCTACATCTGCATAAACTTTGCCTAAAGCGGTATGTCTAATTTCCGCATTATAATGTACATCATTCATCTCCTCAGCCTCAGGATGATGTACTTTTTCGGAGTACGATAATTCCCTGCCAAAGAAAACAAAGTTTGGAGTTAACTGAGTGACTTCATGGCGTGAGGATCTGATTGCACTAGCTACCTGTTAAACATATTTCTCCCAATCTCTATGATTTTCACTTACATAGGAAGACAGAATGGTTTTAATCACACGGTGAGTTCGTTCAACGGCATTGGCTTGAGGATGGAAGTTGGATACATATCTTGGGTGGACATCATATTTCGCCAGTAAGTCAAGCAGGAGCCGACTTTTAAATTGTTTTCCATTGTCCATTATCATTCCTTGGGGTGCTCCGAATAGCAGAAAAGTTTCTTCGTAGATTTTCACTATACTGTTGGCTTTGGATGTACGTAATGGAAAAATCAATAAGAATTTTGTGAAAAGATCACATATTGTCAAGATATAGGAAAATCCAGAAGACGATCGTGGCAGAGGACCAACAAGATCTGTACTAATGACTTGCCAAGGACGAGTTGTCCCTGGACTAGCACTTAACATGAGTCCTACAGGAGGTGTCTGATTGGGCTTTGTTTTTAAACAAGTGAGGCATCGATTAATATACCGAGCCACATCCTGCCTCAGCTTGGGCCAATAATACCGTGCAGATATTCGACCGGAGGTTTTATATATCCCTAGGTGACCGCAGGTTGGAACATCATGATGCGTTTTAATTAGTTCTGCCCGTTCTTCTTTTGGGACAACAATTAACCAACCGTCTGATTGTTCACAGAGCTCAGGATATTGTAGATTGGCCTTTTTATATAGCCGGCCTGAGTCCTCCCTCCATAACGGATAGCGATCGGGATATTTGATCACTTTTTGGATCATCGACTGATACCAGATGTCTTTAACCTTATACTCTGAAGGTTGTGGATCGGGTTCGCCAGCAACGATATCCACTTTAATATTATCAACACAGGGCACGGCTCTTGACAGTGCATCAGGAACTACATGATCCTTCCCCTTTCTATGGATAACTTCAAAATCATATTGCTGTAGTCTGACTGCCCATCTAGCGATACGCCCCACGGGGTCTTTAATAGAGTTAATCCACTTTAGGCTATAATGATCCGTCACTAGAGAGAACCGAGACCCTTCAACATACGGCCTAAACTTTTCGATTGCGTGAAGGACAGCTAGACACTCTTTCTCGGTAGTGGAGTACTTTCTCTCTGATTTCGTCAATGACCGACTACCTTTTCGCCTGAGGGAGTCTCTTGCGTCAACACCGCTCCCAAACCAAAATCGCTAGCGTCCGTCTGGATAGTAAAAGGTAAGGAATAATCGGGACACATTAAAATCGGAGCAGACACCAAATGTTCCTTTAACTTACTAAAAGCCTGACTGCAATTGTCATCCCACATAAATTTCTGAGCCTTCCTCAATAGAGGGCGGTCGAGGTAGAAAAATTTGGTACAAATCTTCGGTACCAAGAAGAAAGACCGATGAAACGTCGTACATCTGATACATTTTTAGGAGGGGGAAAATTAACAATGGCTTCTACCTTTTCCGGATCGACCATTAACCCTGATGCTCCAACAATATACCCTGAATATTTTAGTTCACCCTTACAAAAATGACATTTATCCCTATTAAGAGTTAATCCCGCTGACCTCAATCGACTGAAAACTTCACTAAGTACCTCCAAATGTTTCTCGTAACTACTAGTACAGACAATGACATCGTCTAGATAAACGAAACAATAAGGTTCTAAATCATGGCCAAGCACTTGATCAATGAAGCGCTGCCACGTGGCAGGTGCATTATGCAAACCCATTGGCATCCTTTTAAATTGAAATAACCCTCGATTTGGGACAATAAATGCAGTTAGAGGTTTTGACTCCTCTGCTAATGGAATCTGCCAATATGCAATTTTATGTCCAGAGTTGAGAGGTAGTGAGCTTCTCTAAGTTTATTTAAGGTGGCATTCACTTGAGGTAATGGGTAAGCATCCCGCTCTGTCACTTTATTTAGTTGTCGAAAATCTACCACAAAACGATATCGACCATCTGGTTTCTTAAGAAGGAGGATAGGAGAAGCCCAGGGAGAAGTAGAAGGTTCCACCACATTGTCTGCCAACATCTGATGTAGTTCCTCGTTTACTTGCCGCTGTAGAACCGGTGATATGGGATAGTACCGTGACCTTAAAGGTGAGGATTTGGTACGAATAGTATGGCAAACTCTGTCGGTACACCCAAACTTGGATCCCATTTTCTTAAAAGCTTCATCAACTATCTGATGTAACTGTTGTTGCTGATCATTAAGAAGAGAATCTATAACATTTACACTGATTGTTGGTGAGCATTCACCAAAAAATTCTCTAAAAGTCCATTGCCCCGAAAATAGATTAAGAACAATCTCCATTGTCCTCCAAAAATCACATCCTAAAATAAGACTATGAAGTATTGTCGGAACTACAAGTACTTCAAGAAGTTTCACACGACCTTCCAGGGTGATAGGAATTAATACAGAGCCCTCCACATTGCAGGTCTCACCATTAGCCACAATACACTCTTTAGCGGACAACATATTCATCGCACAACTAGACTTTAATCTATTCCACCCTTGCCTACCCAAAATAGTGTGAGTAGCACCGGAATCAAGTAACCCTAACATAGGAATATTATAAATACTGACTTGAAGATATGGTCGAGTGTCTCCAGTAGCATGGGCAATAATGTAATTCAATAAGACTCTTGTATTTGATTCGGTCGCATTTGTGGATACTAGGGGAAGTTCCAGCCGACCTACTGAGTCCCTCTTACTTTTTTTTTGACAATTTGGACAGGTACTTGTTATCGCGTTATCACGACCACATTTAAAACAAACTTTTCTTCGGGGTTGATCGCAAGCCCTGAATTTGTGAGTCGTGCTTTGACAATTCCAACATATTGGAGTTTTATTGTCGACAGCACTAGAAATTCTAGCATTAACGGTAGCAGATTCATTGGTTGTTGCTACGGAAGCAATGGATGTTAGATTGGGTTGAGTGGGTCCTCTTTTATAAGCCAAGTCCGGCTCTAACAAGGACCGATAATTGGTGGGAGGAGGTTAAAACTTTTGAACTCTAATTTGTGTTTCTTCTATAGCTCTACTTAATCTGACAAGTTCAGCCATAGAAGTAATTTCATGGATTGCGAGATGAGATTGGATGTGAGGTAATAGATTGCGTTTTACCAGATTAATACGGGTGTACTCGGTTAAAGATTGGCTTAACTTTCTAAACAGAGTTTACATCACAGAAACATAACTAATTACTTTCTCCTGAGCTCCTTGCGTCCTTCGCCTAATTTCATCCATCAGCGTGAATTCGTAATCGTAAGACTGGAAAGCCTCTCGGAGTTTGCACACTAGGTCATCCCAAGAAGAAAACTTCTCTGTGCGATACCACAAGAGTGCTTCCTGGCTAAACAGCTCGGGAGCCGAACGATGTAATTGCTCCTTAGGAACTCCTCTTGAAAGTCTCAGCTCTTCTATCCTTTCCAGGAAATCAGTAACACTTTTTTTTCAATTAAATTTCACATTCCATCTACTGATGTGCATCGGACGTTCTACAAAGTCACCTTGTGAATAACGTAGCCCAGAAGAATGTCTCGGTGGAAAGCTATCACTCACGGGATTTATAATTCCATCTTCAGTAGGTATGTCAGAAGCAACAGTAGGAGGGAATATTGCAGTACCAGGATTTCGATTTCTTAGAGTGGATTGGAATGGAGAATTCACTCCGGCAGCAAACTGGTTCAAATTCAACTCAACTTCTGAGGGTGCAGTTTCTGCGAATCGGATGTGCTGAGGTGGTTGATGATTGGAAGCTTCTTCGAGAAAAGGTTGAGATATATTGCGGTGTGGTCGAACCGTTCGATAACCCTGTTCACCCACGGGACGTAAGGGTTGATCAATTCCAGCATTGGTCATAGGATTTTGGAACAACCGTGCTAGATGTTGGATAACTCTTAGAGTTCCAGCTTCTGAGGAAAAGTTATCTCGTACCGTCGGTACATTGGAGTCTTCTACCCTCACCCTGTTATTGTCAAAAGCCGTCTCTGCCCGAGTTCGTTCTCGCAAATGGTGATCTGAGAGCCTTATGGCATTTGATGGATTGACTTGCACCAGATCATAAACTATTCCTTCTTCTCGTGGACGAATAATTTCCCCTTCTACATAGGGGACCTCATCATCCAAGATAGACCTTGGTTCTTCCCCAGAATGTGATTGACTTGCCTATGTTAATTCACTTTCATCGATATTTACCCGGTTGTTTGACGAATTTACAGTTTGATATTTCCGATTTAGTTCCACCTTCAAGTGGCAGGATTGTTCTTCTAAAGCTGCCTTCATGTCATCCTGACTCCTAGACTGTGACACTATTCGTCCCAATCTCAGTGAAATATGCGAAAGACGTGACTGTATCCTATGGAAATCGTTATTCCGGTTGGTAATATCAAAGTTTTGAATATTATCCTGTAACTCCCCTAACTTACGCCGACATATTTGTAACTCTTCAACAGAGTCATATGCAGTTACTTGAGGCACGGCAGATGGGAAATATTTTTCCATTTGTAAAGCTTCTCTTAAAATTGCACGTTTTTCCGCTACCGATCTACCAAGAGGAAGACCTCTTATTGTTGTGATTGCGGTGTCCTGTGTCGATACGTAAATCCTATCTGATGGCTACAATGCTCGAAGAAGGTGCTCCTATCGTCAATGAAAAGGCGTCCACGAGTAAAGAGAAAGAGGAAGAAAATGTGGGTAAAGAAGAAAAACATGATAAAAAACATGATGAGAAGGAGAAAGCGAGTGATAAACGAATTTCATTGACTAAATTCTTTGACATTTTAGGGCAGATAGAAATAGTATTACACAAAGACGTTGCTTTAAAATACGTCACTTCTACTTACACCTTTGAAAACGTGTCAGGAACTGGTGTTCTATTAGAAAAGTTAGAATCTCTACCAATGTGTTTTGGTTCGTTCGCGGCTGGAGATGACTACAGACCATGGATATATACTAAGTTTCTTGGTATAGACAATTTTTCTAGTTTTGATACGTATATCTTCGCGAAATTAGCTATGGCTTTCACTTTAATGAAAAGATCTAGTCGTTTTTTAGTATGTCCCAAATCGACAATGTGGCAGGTACGCAACCCTGACCCGGTCGCTTTGGGTTATCCAGTGAATTTGATATTACAGTCTAATGCTAGATCGTACGCGAATGTAGAAGCTATATTAAGAAATATAGACTTGAGAGAAGTGGATAATTTTCTAGTAGAAGCGATCGTATGCGGCGACCCAGACGAATTAAGCATATCACAAGCTTTGCTAAATTATTCTCGAGTAGACATGCCAGCAGTTCGTAATATATGTCAACGTATAGTTAATCTAGCTTCACAAAACGAGCAAAGTATAATAACATTACCATTCGCATCCGCAGCTCAGCATTTACAACCATCATTTGGTATATTTTACTCGAATTTAATGTTTTATATGCTTCCCTTGTATGTTAGAATGGCATATGAGTTAACAATCAAAGCTATAGCTCCTGTATTAGTTATGGAACCCATTAATGATTCAACTTTAATGAAGCAAGCGCAAGGAAGTGCTACCAGGTCCGGGTTTCTTCCTGATGTTATAAGTGTACAATATACTCCAGATATGGCCACTGATTTTACCGCATTGCTATCAACGTTATTATGCCCAGGTTATATTCAGATAGACATTGATTGGTCGGATTGTCCGAATTATTCTGTGGATTTATAAGGGTTTATAGCACTAATTTGCAAGGCCTTCTTCATGTACAGTGAAGGCAGGCTAAGTTCGTTAACTGAAGATGGTGTCAGATCGATTGAGAACAGAATAGTGGCGGCAGGTGTTAAAGCTCAGTTGTTGGTACGAAATCCAATTATGATTCCAGATTTGTTTCCATTTCAAAATGTAGTACTTTTCGCTAGGAATTTACAGGGTGAAATTTTGGAGATGTTGAGAACTGACGGGAATGGAGGTGGCTGGATGAATGGGAATAGGCAAGTTTTTGGCGAGGATGGAGCCGATGGTTTGTTAGATTGGTAATGAGAAAATGTCTAAAAAAGGAAGAATATTTGTATGAAGTAAATTTTTAATTGAAAATCCCACGGAAATTATAAATAATATTTATTACATGTATAAAACAGGATAAATTTGGAAAATAGTTAAATTTTTTCAATAAAATAATGACGTTTCAATGTTTCAATTGGTCTAATTGGTGTAGATTCAGCTTAGATTTCATATCTCGCGTTGCCATACCGAAACAAAAACGAATCGGTTTTTGTTGATTGTGACGCAAAAAAGGTCACCATTTTGACTTTTGAAATTTTAAAATTTGGACAATATTGTTAAACATTGTAGCAGGTAAATTAAAAAGATTAGATATTTAAAGATTTATTAATATTAATTTGATTTCAGCTTAGGATAAGCAGACATATCCTGTTTGATTCATTATTAGAAAAGAAAATCTTTTAAAACATTTCTTTGGTGAGTATTTTTTAACTTAATGTATACTGAAATAAAATTTATTAAATTATTTTAAATGAAATATAAATACTTTCTTTTACTTTTAAATTATAGAAAAAGATCATCGTACCTACGCAGAGTTAGTTGCAGTAGCAATACCGTTCATCTTTGGAATTTCGAAAAATTAATTAAAAGGTGAGTACATTTTTATACTTTACATTCTTTTGATTTACTTTTGCTTAACATTTAAAAGAATTTATAACTGTGATTCTATAAATATTTACATATAGAATTACTTATTGTTCAATCGTTTTCTTTTTCTATAACGTTATTGAAAAATAAAATGTGGTTTTTTAAATTTTGAGAAAAAAAAATTCTCAGAAACATTATTAACTGATATTAGTTTATATTAAAATGGTAAATATTCGATATAGGAAAAAAATGTATTCTTTCAAAAAGTTGCTAGACGATTTAAGCAATTGAAATCCACAAGAAAATTTCCCACAATCTTCATTTTATACAAGGTGTTTAGCAAAATGTCAAAATTTGTTACTTTCTTATTTAACTTCTATAAATTTTTGTTATACCTTCTTACAACTCTGTTTTTGTAAACATTTACATAGAGAGTTACTTATCGTTCATTCTTTTTTTTTTTTTCTATAACGTTATTGAAAAATAAAATGGGGTTTTTAAATTTTGACAAAAAAATAAAATTTCTTCGAAACACATACATTTATATATTAAAATGGTAAATATTCGATATAGGGAAAAAATGTATTCTTTCAAAAAGTTGTCAAACCACGGCCACCTGTAGTAACACTATCTCGATCCTGCCTAAATAAGTTATAATTTTTTATCATGATAGCATTATCTAAAATATTTTCATTGAGCTTCGTTTCAGTAATACATCATATATCATAGTTTACATGTTCAACAAACTCCCTTAACTCAGTAATTCGAGCCGGCAATGAATTAACATTAATACAGGCTACTTTTATATTACCCATTATTTCCAAACAATATTCTATTCACATTAAATATTACACCTATATAAATTTAAAAACAACGAAGTTTTTCTTATATATTTAAAAATTAATAGCTACAAAATAAAATGAAAACTATGTTAATAGCACAAAAGCTATACGAAAGAAAAAACTATTGCTATGATATATTTTGAACACTATTTATTTAGACTTTCAAGATATTTATTAAAAAGTAATTTTCCCTGCCTTTAAGTCGTCTACCGTGTAAGATCGTCCACTGTCCAACAATACAAGTTTGTTGTTCTTTATTTTAGTAGGAATATTCGAAACCGAGGCTTTTTCTTTAAACTGCTTTAGCGTTTTGTATTCTTCTCTCTCTTCCTTACTTGATTCTCTTGAAATCGAATACTTGGAACTTTTCAGTTTATATGACTTTCGAAAAATGTCTTTAACTACAGTGTAACACAACAGTTCCACAAGCACAGGACTATTCGACTTAATTTTACCGAGTCTGAACACGTTCCTTATTTGATTTTCTTTAAATGAACCTCCTAATATATTATTAAAAATTAAATTAACTTCAGAAGAAAGATTTTCTTTTTCAGCCGGCATTCCATGAACAATAATGTTATATTTTCTAATTATATTTTTTAATAATTTTACTTCAGAAGCAAGGTTTTTATGATCATTTTCTACTTTATCTATTTTTAAATTATTCTCCTCGATTTTATCTAGCAATTCTACTTTATCTAGCTTAATAGTTTCCTTCAGTTCAGAAATTTTATCATCAAAGTATTCTTTAAGTTTATCGAACAGCTGATCATGGCTAGCGATGTTTTGAGGATCCTTTCGCGGCATCGTGAACTGATTTTCGCGTATCAGACTTTAGACTTTACTAACTGACCGGTATCAAACACTCACCGGCAAATAATAAAATCTTATCACTTCAAGGTAAACTGCTTTCATATCTTTGATCCAAAATTTTCGATAATGTGTCTTATAGTCTAATTACATAGAGAGTTACTTATCGTTTATTCGTTTTCTTTTTATATAACGTTATTGAAAAATAAAATGTGGTTTTTTAAATTTTGAAAAAAAAATTATCGGAAACATTAATAACTGATATTAGTTTATATTAAAATGGTAAATATTCAATATAGGGAAAACATGTATTCTTTCAAAAAATTGCTAGACGATCTAAGCAATTGGAATCCACAAGAAAATTTCCCAAAATCTTCATTTTATACAAGGTGTTTAGCAAAATGTCAAAATTTGTTACTTTCATTTTTAATTTCTATAAATTTTTGGTTTACTTTCTTATAACTCTATTTCTATAAACATTTACATAGACAGTTACTTATCGTTTATTCGTTTTCTTTTTCTATAACGTTATTGAAAAATAAAATGTGGTTTTTTAAATTAAAAAAAAAAATTCTCGGAAACATTATTAATTGATATTAGTTTATATTAAAATGGTAAATATCAACTAGTATTCGTTTATACAAGGTATTTCACATGCTATAACCAATTTTGAAAATTGTATTGATTTCAATGACCTGTATACTGCCGTCATAAGAAAAAAACACGTATTCGACATTTTTTCCAAAATTGAGATATTTATTTCCTATGTTTTAAAATAGCTTTCTGGACATGTTGACGAAGAAAAAATCGCGTATATTGCTCTGGAAGTAATAAATTCGCTTTGTTATTTTCACGTATTTGCACCTCATTGAGTAGTCGTACTAAATATAAACCACGTATTTACTAAATACTAAGAAATACCCGCGTAAAAACGAAGCGCATACGTAGTTTTTACTTAGTAGGCGCGCGTTTACGTGGCTGTTGCTTAGCATTGAATATATCCGCGGTTTTTTCCTGTCACAACCCCCATATTTTTAAGTGACCTGTCGCCCGGAGCGCACGTATTTAATATTCTTTGAGCTTTGAGCTTAATAATTAGTGTTTTATTAAAATGAATCGTGGAAAACTTTTGATTAGCTTGGCATTAAATAATGCGGGACCCAAAAACGATTGTGCCGAAAATGTTTCTAATTCGGTTTCAATTGAAGAAAACACCATAAATAAATCGTTGTCATATTTACCAATTTTTACCGAAGACAATCAGGAAATTGGAAATATTGCTACAGAAAGTTTTTCCTGTGTATTAAATAGTAAGTAACAATATCTATTTTACACTAAATTGTAGGATTGTACCGGGTCTACAAATAAAAAAAGGCGCAGGCTATATCTCAGGAAGTAATAAAAGACCAAGAAGCTTTCGCGTTATTTTTTTTTTGTAAACTGTGTTTTAAACAAACTACGATTTCTCCGGTTTGTCATGACCGCACTGGTGTCATTAAAAAGGACAAATTTTTCCTACAAAATGCTCTTTTTTCTTTGAATTTTTTGCCAAAAAAATTGTACTCAAAATCCTTTTTTATTTTTTACAACCCGGTACGAGTAGTAGGAGTACTATTTTTAATAAACTTTTCACAAATTATTCACAATTTTCAAAGCATTTGTATCTGAGTCATGTTTTCCATAATAGGTCTTAATCAAGATGACCCTGCCGCAAAAATTAAATCAACACAAGAAAACGATGTAGGATTTATTAAAATGACGGAAAGCTTTTGCGTCTTCCCAACGGAATGTAAGTACACCATAATATTAGGATACTAAATAACGAACCCTTTGAATAGTAATAATACTGAGCAAGTAGTAACCCCCTTGTAAACAGTTTTGTATTTTTTAGATCTACTTCAACAGGGTGATGAAATTCAGCAAGTTGATAAAACAATTCAATCGCGTTCCAGTGATACATTTAATGATGGTCAGTTTTTTTAATAATGAAATAAGAACCCCTTATAAACAGTTTTGTATTTTTTAGATCTATTTCAACAAAGTGATGAAATTCAGCAAGTTAATGAAACTGTTCACTCACGTTCTAGTGATATATTTAATGTTGGTAAGTTGTTTGAATAATGAAATTAGAGCCCCTTGAAAATAGTTTTGTATTTTTTAGATCTACTTCAACAGGGTGATGAAATTCAGCAAGTTAATGAAACTGTTTACTCACGTTCCAGTGATACATTTAATGATGGTAAGTTTATAAATAATAAAATAGTGTTTTCGAAATCATAACACGAACATAAAAATAACAAGAGCTCTTAAATGTTAAAATTATTTTTCAACGAATTTTAAAAAATGTTGATATACATTTTTTTGTAGATTCTAGACAAGGTAAAGAACATAATGCAGAAGACATAAGACTAACTACTGTAGAACCTACTATTATTCATGAGGAAAACAGTCAGGCAACAGAGGCAGGAGAAGAAAATACTTCCAATTCGGAAGCAAGTTCTCGCGAAAATACAGTTACAACTCTAACAAAACGTGGTACGGAAAGAAAACGAAAATTGTATCCAGAGAGCCTATCCAAGCGCAAAATAAAAAAGATGAAGATGCGAGCTAACCAACACAATGTACTTCCTGGTTGTAAGTCAACATGTAAACGTATGTGTTCTGAATTAATACCTGAAGAAAGACGGCAATGAATTAATCAACATTACTGGAAATTATCTTGGCATGAACAAAAAA